GGGGGCTGCAGCCCGGCCCCTGCTGAGCGGCATTAATTCTCCTGGCCTAGGCCCTGTCTTGGGTCCTTCCTGGGGCTAAGCAGCGGGCCTGGGTGGGCCTAGCCCCAGTGCTGGTAGGGCTCAGGGTACAACCCCTCCTACCCAGAGGGGACGGACGGACGGACACACACACTACTCATACCCATACCCAGGAGAGAGAGAGACCCAAACTCTCACGCTCTTAATCCTTTTTGGGGTGGGGCTCAACTGTGAATGTGTTTTCTTAAAGGGGTAATCCTTTGGGGTGGGGCTCAACTGTGAATGTGTTTTCTTAAAGGGGTAATCCTTTGGGGTGGGGCTCAACTGTGAATGTGTTTTCTTAAAGGGGTAATCCTTTGGGGTGGGGCTCAACTGTGAATGTGTTTTCTTAAAGGGGTAATCCTTTGGGGTGGGGCTCAACTGTGAATGTGTTTTCTTAAAGGGGTAATCCTTTTTGGGGTGGGGCTCAACTGTGAATGTGTTTTCTTAAAGGGGTAATCCTTTGGGGTGGGGCTCAACTGTGAATGTGTTTTCTTAAAGGGGTAATCCTTTGGGGTGGGGCTCAACTGTGAATGTGTTTTCTTAAAGGGGTAATCCTTTGGGGTGGGGCTCAACTGTGAATGTGTTTTCTTAAAGGGGTAATCCTTTGGGGTGGGGCTCAACTGTGAATGTGTTTTCTTAAAGGGGTAATCCTTTTTGGGGTGGGGCTCAACTGTGAATGTGTTTTCTTAAAGGGGTAATCCTTTTTATTTGCTCAACTGTGATTGTATTTTCTTAAAGGGGCAGTCCTTTTTATTTTATTTTATTTTTTTTTGCTCCACAACCGTGATTGTTTTCTTAAAGGGGCAGTCCCTTTTTTCCCCTTTCCTTTGCCACTGATATCTTGACTCTTTGCCCCAAATGGGTTGGCCACCCCAGCTGCAAGGGATCCGGAGGAGAGCCGGAGCCCAGAAGGGGGGGGTCCCACGTCCGGGGGATTCGGCCTGGATTGCCTGGACCAAGCAGGTGGCAGAAGGTGCCGGGGACGGTCATCCGCTCGGTTGGGTTTTCCACCGGGGCAGGGTCTGAGAGCGTGCGCTATTTCTCCCCCCCTCCCCCCCAGATCCTAGAGCTGCCGGTGACGGAGCGGCACATCGAGCGGGAGCACTTGCTCCAGCTGAAGAAGTGGAAGGAGACCCCCGGCGAGCTA